TATAAATAAATATTATATTTAAATATATAAGTTATATTTAAAAATTATGTAAATAATTATTTTAAATATATAAATTATATTTTAAATATATAATAAATAATTTATATCATAGAATAATATTATTGTTATTTATCAATAATTTATTAAAATATTAAAATTTAATTAGAAATAATTATGTTAAATAAAAATTAATTTAAATAAGAAGTTAAAAAAATTTCTAAAAAATATCTTGTTCTTAAAAATACTCTCACATAAAAAAGACATTAGTATTTAATATATAGAGATTAAAAGTTGGATATTATTTCATTTCTATTTTTCTAATCCAATCAATAAGACCTTTTTAGAGTTGTTTTGCCTTGTTAGTAGTTTTACTTTAATTTTTGAAATATGTTTAACTCTAATTCATTAAGAAAAAGGATAACAACTTTAAGAATGTCATCCACTTTAAATGAATCTCATTCATTTCTACCAATACCCCTTGTTTTATTCTCCTCTTTGTAACTCTTACTTTTTCTTGAGAGGAGATAGAGATTTGCATATATAAAAACTAAATCTCTCTTTGTCACTCCTTGTACTATAGATTGTACGTATTGAAGTTATTTATGAGTCCTATTATGTCACTTATGAATAAGATCTCAGATTTGAAAGCAAATAAGATTAATGAAAAATCTATTTTTTTTTTATTAAAAGATATAATTTTTATTTATCAAACTTGAGCACATACTTGATACATAATCAAAAAATATATTTGCGTACCCAAATTAGGTATGCACTTTTTTTTAAATATATCAAGTACATACCTAATACGTAGCCTTGAGTACTCAACATGTATCAGATACAAGTACAACACGAATTTTGGTGTGCTCATGTTTTAGAGTTCAAGACTAATTGAAGTTGCTTCTAAAAAATAATCAAACTCATAAGTGGTACATGGTATATCTAAACTAGATAGATTGATGAACAAATTACATGAATTCTAAGAATCAATTGAGGATGTAGAACCTCGTTCTAGTGAGGAATACATTTCATTGACAAATGTAGAACTTGAACTCACCTCTCCTGCTACCATCTTTTTCAATATTTTTTTGTGCATAGTGTTTGTCGGTTCTCCTGGATATGGCAACTCAACTAAAGGGTTACTAAGATAAGAGACAACTTTTGCCATCGTTGGTCTATCACTTGGTTTATCCTGGACACATAATAGACCAATCTGAATGCACTTGACAACTTCATTATGATTGCTAGATTCTTCTATATCTTGATCCAATATTTTTAATGGTGTTTCATCTCTCCATTGTCTCCACGCCTGTAACAATTGTTAGATATTTAAATTATCACACTCTATGCATTTTTTCATCAAAAAAAAAAAAGAAACAAACCATTAAAAGTGAACACTCACATCACTTAATAGATCGTCAACATTATCTGATAATAGAGAACGAGCATTCCTTTTTGAACTTATTGTCTCCAAAACTATGACTCCAAAACTAAAAACATCTGATTTTTCAGAAAATTGTCCGTGCATTGCATATTCTGGAGACATGTAACCGCTATAATAAAAAATAAATACCAACATTAGATTAAAAATGTAATAAAAGATACATGAATGCAGCATATGAAATTAATAAAAACCAAATCAAATAAGTTTTGTCATCAAAACTAGGTCAAACAATAGTCTATATAGCCACTTTTTGCAATCGAATTTATATAAGACAAAATGATAAAAATAAAATAAACCAAATGTTTAAATAATTAAGAGTATGGACAACTTTTATAATTACCATGAACTTTCATACAAAGTATTTTGATTTTGATGTACGAAGAGCTAATTCTAAATTTTAACATAAGAATTCAAAATTGGAAAAGATTCATATTAACTTGAGAAGGTAAATATATAATTCTATCAACCTCATAATAAATTAAATAATAAATATTGCAAAATAGAATACTTACTAGGTTCCCACAATTCTATTTGTACTTCCTCGATCTTGTTCTAAAGCGATCATTCTTGCGATGCCAAAATCCGATATTTTTGGATTCATATTGTTATCTAACAATACATTACTAGGTTTAAGATCACGATGTATAACTTTCAACCTTGAATGGTCATGTAGGTAAAGTATTCCTTGTGCAATTCCTTCAATAATTTTGTAACGTTCATCCCAATTTAACAATCTAGTCTTGTGACGATCTATAAATATATAATCAAAGATTCATTCAAGAAAACAATTGAATTTGTTCAGCTAACATAAAAATTTTAAACTTCAATAATGAATATAGACAAGAAGGTCATTACCAAATAAAAAGTAATCAAGACTTTTATTGGGTACATATTCATAAATGAGCATTTTTTCTTGATCTTCCAAGCAAAATCCTATCAATGCCACCAAATTTCTATGTTGAAGCTTAGCTATCAGTAAAATCTCATTCTTAAACTCTACGGCACCTTGTCCTGAGCTACGAGAAAGTTTTTTCACAGCTATTTGTCTTCCATCAATAAGAATACCCTGAAATTTTAATCAATAAATCTTTTGAGGAAAGAAAAACAAGAAACGTATGCATACACTTCTGGTTATGCTATGTTACCTTATAAACCTCTCCAAATCCTCCCCTGCCTATTTTGTTCTCATATGAAAATTTCTTTGTAGCGACTTCAATTGTTGCCAAATTAAATTGTAATGACTCTAAAGTGGCACTTTCATCCCCAACTGAAAGAATAAATATATTGGAATCATAAACGTAAGCAAGCTAAAAGTCTCCTCTTAAAGCTTCTATGAAATAAGAGTAGATTGGACTTTGTATTCGTACTTACAATTTTCTTTTAAAAGAGTGTTATAATTCTTCCTTGATCTTCTCACGAGAAAATAGCAGACCGAACAAAAGAGAATTATCGAAACCACCACGACAGGAACAACAATTACGACAGCACTTGGAGACCCTGATTTCTTCTTTCCTACATAATTAGTTTTTGAAAAAGAAAATCAATGATCTATATTAGTTAAAAATGAGAATACAAAGACAGGAATTAATTGAGTAGCAATGGTTGGGTTAAATTAAATAACCTTGCGGAGCAGGAGAAACCGGAGGGGACGCAGCACTAGTGTTGTAAAACTGATACAATTCGTATCTAACGTTACACGACG